GATCTCCTGAAGTGAACAAAAACATCACTTCTGATGAAATCGTATCCGGAGTGTTCAGATTGCGTTCCAGCTGTCCGGGATCTGAGCGGGGTGTATGTGATGCCACCGCACAGCCCCAAGCCCAGGTGGAACGCACTGCATTCGCTGACAGTACTTTTGCTGTGCTGCAGTATCACAGCTAGGGACACAAGGCAGCCTCTCGGAACATCTGAGTAGATTTGTCCTGTGCAGTTATAGTTTAAACATTAACATTTAACGTAAGGAAAAACTATTTCTGTAACTCAGAGAACAGCAAGAGTAAGATTTCATGAGGAGAATCCCTAGAAAAAGATCAGGAAAGCAAGCAAAGTGGGGAAAGCTGAGACAGAGTCACCACACTTTCTGTCTGCGGTGTCCAACCACAGCAAACTTCTGCCACTGAAGGGAAGGCAGAAAGCAAAGACAGAAGAAGTGAGTTGTACCTCTTTGGCGTATGTATCTCTTTTCCCTGGAAAACAAGGTCTAGGCAGTAGCAGATTTGATTTAATCCCACACAGGCATCCTCCAGCCTATGGGGATGAACAGCTAGGGATGAAGAAGTCTGACGCTCTCCAGTGTAGGTGTGATACACAGACTGGCTACTCAGAATCCCATTTGCGCATCCTTTAAAGACCAAAGGATTGCTCTACAGTCTTTTCATGCATTTGAAACCTTCTTAGATATTAAGCTAAAAATCTCATGCTCCACAGAGGAGAGGTCCTGCACAGTCAACAGCAGCTTCTGTGAAAGCCAAAACCTGAAATTAGGACAGTCACTGCATAGCTATAATTACAGCTCTGGAGTAGGGAGCCAAGCATCCACCACAGCAAGACCCTAAGCATGGTATAACTTCATCCAGAGATGCTTAATTCTCTCTCAACCATAGGAACAAGCTACTACAAGCCCAGAAATGCCAATTTCAGGTATTCAGATGGAAATTACAGCAGGCCAAAGTAGTCCAACAGTTGCTAATCCAGAAGACACTCACCAGTTTCAAGTTGTTTTGTTTTTTAAACCAGTAAGATCTAGCTTTTCAGGTTTCTGTCTTTGTTTGCTTTTTTCACCCCCCTCTAAACTGCTGAAGCATTACATTAGTTACAGAGTCAAAGAGAAAAGGGAGCACAAGGTCAGAAGAAGAATTCCCCAGAAAACCTGATACTTCTATTTGCTCAAAGGCCAGAAGGATTCAATGAGAGTGAAGCTTAACTGCAGGTCTTCAAGAGGGTTCACAGTAACCTAGTTTATGAGAAGAGTAATTTTACTTGCCTGCAGATGATGGAGGATATCCAAAAGGGAACATCATAATCCACATACCAAAGATACTGAGGAGCCAAAGCTGAGCAATCTTTCTCACAAGGTCTTTGGAGCATTGTGTGCCATTCATTCATCATGAGTAGGAGAACAGTTGTCCCTATTAAAAACACATGGATTCTGAGCATTCCTGAAGCTACAAGGAGCTCTTGCAACCTGTGGCCAGATGGACATGGAGGTACAGGTAAGAAGAGTGAAAGATGTTGGGCCAAAGTCTCTAGCAGGACTTGAAGCCAAACTCCGGCCTGTACCAGATGCATTGTTAAGATCAGCATGGAAACCTGAGGCCACCAGAAGGAAAACGAAGGCTCCTAAAAATAAAGGACCTATCATCCAAGATGAACCATCTACAGATGCAAGATGGCCCCACCTGAGGCAAGTGAGCCCAAAGTCCTGGCACCAAAGAAGGAAAAAGCAGCATGACTGGGAGAGCTGACAGAAAGTTGAGAACTAGCAGGATTACGCTTCCGCGCGACCTACATACCGATGGTGCAACAGCCGGTACCAGTGGAAATGCTAGCAGAGGCAACCAGGATTCTTGGAGAACAGTCAGCTCCTTGGCAGATGGAACACACAGTGTTCTTTCAAAGTCCAAAGCAGGTGACCAAAAAGGTGTTTCTAAGTCAGGAAGCTCTTCTGAAAGTTCACTTCTGACAGGCAAATACAACCTGGGGAAGGTGAGGCCTCTTCTGGGTTTTTTTGTTTGTTTGTTTTATAAACCACCTCCAGCTCCATTCAAATGAGAATGAATTCCAGAGAGCTGATGCCAAACCTTGACCAAACCTCAAGGGAAACTGCCAAGACAACCAAGAGGAATACACGAAGGGAACAGCATTCTTGAGACACCCCAGGCATAAGTCCCCTGTTCAGGATGGCTGATAACCCAGAACTCCACAGCGATCCAGAAAGCAATGAGGCACTTGATCTTGCTGAGGCTATTCAAGAGAAAGAGAGGACCACGCAATACACTTCAGCAGGGAACAGCAACTAAAACAAAGAGGTACTAGTAGGACAAGACGTGTATCATCTTGATTGGTTACAGCACACGAGTACCCATGCTTGTCCATGTTGTCAGTATAAGCAGGCACTCGAAGAATAGACTCTTTTTATGTACAATACAAGCTTACACAGGCTTAGGATGACACTGCAGCTTACCTAAATTACGTGTTACATGTACAAGCACATGCAGTTCTACATTGATTGAAACATACCATTTCACTGTAACATAGGGCTTAGAGCCATCTTACCTAAGCACAGTTCAGAAGAATATATTGTCTGACACAATTTTAAGTAATTAATGCCTGTTGTCTGGTTCTTAGGTGTTCAGTACACAACATATACTAGCATTAAAAAAACCCAAAAGCATTGCTGTAATTTGTTTCTAACACATTTTCTTAAGGTAATAAGGTACATGAGAGATGTACGGGGCTCCTCCTTCCCCTGCAGCTAGGCATTAGGGAACCTGTGTGGGTGAAAGTCGTTATGAATGAGAGCCACAGAAACCAAACCCCAGTACCGCTTCCACTGAACAGCTGGCATTTTTATCAGCCCTATACTGCTAGAAAGCGTACACGCTACTTTCTTCATAAACCTTACATACATTTCATCAATTTAGCCCACTAAATTATACTTGTTACTAAATATAAGCAGTGGGTTTGAAGCCTGAGCCCTCCCAATTCTGAAAACTCTTTGTATTTACTCAAACTATACAAAAGAACAGTGGGAAAAGTGGAAGCAAAGACTGAAGACACATGCTGGTTTGTCACAACAGAGAGTCAGGCATAACCAGGGGGAGGCTTAGTAACTACACTTCTGTTTCCATACTTAAAGAAAAATGAAGAGACTCACAGAAGCAGAGAGGTAATTCTCAATATCGTCAGCACCACATGTTCCAGAGACTGATGTCACAGCTGGATTTTTAAAGGTTTAATTCTAACAGCAATGTAAGAATCTCTTGGAAGCCTTTATTAATCATAAAGGAACAAAAAGGCCCAACTCTAACTTACTAAAACCACACAGAACTGTGGCCTTCCTGTTTTTTTTCAAAACACTTACTAACATTGCAACTAACATTGCCTATTGCTCGCTCAAGAAACAAGGTGCGAGGGAAAAAGAACTGTTGCCTCCACAGTTCTAAGTTTTAGATCAAAACAAATTACACTATAAACTTTATCAAGACTTCAAAACTGTCAAAGGCAGTAATGGAATCAGCACGGCCAGGAATATGTAATGCTCTTATTCCTAAAAATCGGCGTGCTGGAGTTAAATTTTCCAGAATTATCAACATATTTGTCAGCAACAAGAGAAAACTACCTCCAGCACCAAAACTCCCGAGAAAGTATGGAGGATATGGACTTACTGAAATCATAAACGCAATGACTGAGGTTAGTTGGCTTTATTTACACAGATCTACACCACGATGTTCTGCATGAAGCATAATGAAAACGCTGTTTTCAAAGTGGATATTGTTTCATCTCCGCAGCCTGACAGTAAAAAAACCACTGCCCAAGAACGGGTATCTTGTAACCTTGTAATCTACATTTTGTTATCAGTTATCTGTTATAACACAACACTATATGGTGACTTCCCTTAGAGTAAATACACTTATGTGCACAGAAAGTCACTGTCCAAGCGAGTAGGACAGCCGCAAAAATCCAGACGCCTACCATGAACAAATGACCTCGAGACAAACCCTCCAGAAGAATTTCAGCTGGCCACAAAAGCACTTTTAGAAGCAAATGTTTCTGTTACAGATTAAACATAGTTGCTTTCCAAGCAGTAGTTAATTAGTCAAGCCAGAACATTTTACAGCTGTAGCTTTTAAATTCCCCCCCAAACTGAGTCTTCTCTCATCGCCTGCTCTTGACCTGCATCTTCTCTAAAAAAAATGTAAACGTACATTTTGGTATTGATTAAGCAGTGTCCATCAACAACACTTTGCTAAATAAGCACATAAATGCTCCCCCAAAGAGTCACTGAATCTTTGAAACCTAACTCCTAAAAGTGCTGTCCTGTACTCAACGGATCGTATTTTATGAACACAGAAGTTCTACTGTTTTACTGTAAAAATGAAATTAAACAAAAAACACACCCTAGATGTACTTAAAGGAGTACAAAAGTAATGCAGATGTAATCTTAAGTCTTTATGGTACAGATATATTGTTTCCGTCTACTAAATAACAGTGATATAAAAAAGCTACATAAAAAAATAATATCTTGTAAAAAATGTGCATCTGCTTTAAAAAGGCATGAAGTGATCTGAAGAACCGGGAGCATCTGAGCTGACAGAAGTAGTCCACTACCTGTTCAATGTCCCGCCCAGCCTTCACGAGTCGAGAAAGACTTGGAGGAGGGGATACAAAGAAAAATTAACATGCACTAGGAAATGCAGGATGTGTTGTGACGGTGGACAGTCTAATGCTTCTTATTGTGCTAGTTTGTCATGTTATGTAAGAAAAAAATTAACATTTCCAGCCACAGTTGAAATAACATTCCAAACAAGACCACCGTTACTGATAATTTTCATGTTCTTAAACAGCTGGTTTTGCCACAGCCAACATAATTATAGCATGTAGCCATGATATACAGAACTTTGCTCCCCAAAGTTATTAGCATTATGCAATAGACATTAAGCAGCTTGTGAAATACAAAAATACAACATTGAAACTTACAGTATTTAACAAAATCCTTCTGAAAATCTTTCCTAGAATTGACAAAGGCTCTTCCTCTCTCAGTTCCAACTACAAACACATCTGTTTCATATACAGCAATACAGGCAACTTCTGCCTTGGACTTGGCAAGTTCTTTACACTATAAAGAGAAAAACAAAAAGCTTTTATTACCATAGTTAAGAGTACAGTTAATAGAAATGTATGTGGTACCATGTAAAAGAGTTATTACTTCTGCTGCCAGCATCCACCCTTCAGAAGGTACTGTGAGTAACATAACAGCAGCAAAGGATCATTTATACATCTCGAGTGCTTTTCATCACAAATCTTAAAAGCATTGTAGATGCATTAGTGAAATTAAGGCCTCGTCTAGACTTAAGAGATTGCACTGTTTTTAATTAAAATTATTTATGACATCAAGCCACGTGAAATTATCGCTTCCCTGTTAGATAATCATATTGAGTGTCTTACTCCAACTTCCAACAGAGCATATAGGAGTTTTGCTCACTCACAGCACACTTAGCACACATCATGTTCTGTTCAGAAAGGTGTGCTTGCAAGCAGGTAGGCTGCCTGCAGTCTGCCTTGTCCTGCTGCTGTGCTCAAGCTCAGGTGAATTCCTCCCGAGTGGAAGGATTGCATCTTCCCTGTGAACACCTGCATGGGTTCTGCTGGGAGAAATTTCTGGCGAAGAATTAGGGCAGGAAGCCTGCGGTGCAAGGAGAGAGCAGAGATTCTAAGAAAATGAGTGAGATCATGAAGAAGTGACCACAAAAAGCCAGCTTTTCCTAGGAACTCAGATCAGAGTTTGTTGCAACCTATAAAGACGCCAACAACTGCAGCATGAGAGGAAAAAGCGACACAAAGCCTTTAGGGAACTGAATATTGGAACCCATTGGGAAAAAAGGCTTGCCATCAATTATCTTATAACCATCCCATTCAAAGTTTCATTGCTAAAAAGAAAATTTTTGTTCTTGCTTATCATTTAAGAATTAAAGAACCAAATCTTTGACAGTGCCTCAACTGTAAGGAAACGGGACAGGCATGTCCACTCATAGCCCTGGCCAACCTTAAACCCCACCACAATTAAGTAACTTCTACAAAACAGGCGATATGCCAACTTGAAAAAATAAAGTATTTTCTGAACAAGTTTTGTTGAACTGGCAGAGCAGCTGAGGGCAAGGCATTAGCCTTAAAACCATTTATTCACTCTGTATTACAGATGACAAAGACTGGAACATACCCTGGCCTTTCAACCACACTTTACCTGAGCAATCGAGAATTATTTCCTATTTGTTTATCTGACAAAATAATTTTTAAAACCACCACAGCACAACAAGGAACAAGATGGCTGTTAAGACGACTGTTGGCATGATTTTCCACAAGCACAGAGACAGAGTTACAGCTAGTTGGACAGCCCGCAGTAAGGTATGGATATAACGTTACACCTTTCCTGCTCCGCAGGGGTAGGCAATATATTGGTGTAATCCTGCACATGCCAACACAGAGTTATGACACAGCTGCTTAACTTCTCTACTAACCATTGACTCGAGTGCCGACATGAGGAATGTAACCACCATTCTGCTTTCAGAGGAGTCCTCGTCATGGATGGACGTTGCTGGTGCGGTAGGCTGGGCCATTTTCCTCCTATAAAATGAAATTAAAAAACCTGTTCAGATACACAAAACAGTGCAAGAAAACAAAAACCTCTCTTATGCCAGCAAAGAAAAAAAAAATTTCAAAACCCCAGAACACACCACACACAAGCAAGCAAATATACAGGTAAATTAACAGGAGGAAGTGCTTGCTCTTCGGTTCTTTCATGCTTCCTGCTGTTTCACCCAAACCTGGAGCTAAACATTCAAAAGTTAAAATGTTGTGCCGTGACTAGACCACAAACCCTTTGTGCCTAGAAAGATGCATATTAATTCATTAGCCGAATTTATACTGATTTTTCTTTCTAAGCATGTTTGCAACTCTAGCAGTCTAGATAAATACAGCAAAAGCCGTTGGCATTAACGTACAGAAAAGAAACGGCACATCGTAGTTAGGACACAGTATTAGAACAATCCTTCCTGTAATTATCATGGCTCAAAACAAATCATCACCACCCTGCCTCAAAATCACGGCCTCAGAGACTACAGTATCAGTAACCAGAACATGACATTTTTATTCACATATTCTTCATCTGTAGGATTAAATTCAAAGCTAAGTAGTCCCAATTAAGGTGCTAAAATTAAAAAGTGAATTTCAGCAGTGACACAAAAAAGAGAGTTAAACCTATTTTCTGTATGTCATTCAGGAGACTTTGAACTTACTTAAGACATAAGACTCGTTTATGCTTCTGCTGGTGGGATTGTCTACATGAGAACAAATATATTGAGAACGAAGTTTCAGCAGCTGCTAAGAGCACATTTTTCTATTGGAGTGTCGCAACTTGTTATGTTTACACATATCTAAAGCAATAACCTGACATGCCTGGAGGAGGAGGGAACCAGTAAAGATTTAGCTGCTACAACTCCATGTGCAAGGCTTGAGAAAAAAGCACCTCAAAAGTCAAGATGGCTCAGATAAATGAGACATTGCACAACAGCTCGATGAGACATCTTGCTGCTCCTGTAGAACTTGGGCACACGACGTGGCTCAAGTTTTCAAAGGTGACGTGTATCCTATTAGATGTGCAGACAAGTCAGGGCAGCACAAATAACCATTGCGTGTGATAATACATGCTTACATTCGAAAAAAATGGCACTCTCTCGTTCTTTTGATAGGACTTCCAGCACTTCAGAATACAACTTGGAGGCGGGGAGGCATGGGGAAAGCTAGCAACACTGCAAGCTCACAACAGACATCAGCAGCCTTCTGGCTCTCCAGACACCGGCCAGCAAGGTTTAAAAAGGTTTTAAACTGTGTTAGGGATAAACTGGCAGTGGCATAGTCAGCAGCTGTTTGAGGATGCTGGTGTTTAAACCGCTCATTACTTGCATCTGCCACACTGAGGAGTAGGCAGGTCTGGAAAAGGTCTGGAAAAGGAGCTAAACTTCAGGAATATAAAGGAGTAACAACCGTTGAGCTGCTTCAGCAACCTGAGAGAGGACCAGCTGGGGATGGGGAGGCAGAGGCTGATGGGGTTATCCTCCAGAGGAAAAGGGGCATCTTACTTACTGCTTGTGGACTATCAGAGGGAAAGGGGAGATTATGATGTGACATAAATACACCAATCTTCACTGAGCCACAATTTTTGACACTTAACAGAGTTCTCAAGCTCATCTTTGGAACTCCTTTAGGATTGGGATGCCGGCAGTGATTTTAAACATGATAGCTTTTAGACTTTTTAAAACAACATCTTAACAATCCAATATTAAAGATGAAGTAGAACATAACTACGCATTTCCCCTTTCTCCCAGGTCTCTGCTCGCTGTCTGATGCAGCTGTTCTGCATCGGTTCAACACCTCCCAAGCTAGCAGTGGCACAAACATACACGCCTACCCCATTCTAGGTGAAAAATCAGGCTGTGTAAAAAACAAGAGTAAACTTATTTTCTATTTTGCAGAGGTACCTTGTGCAGTAAACAGACCAAGGAAACTCTGGTCTGTTTGAAGGTTGTGGATGCACAAGCACATCAGCAGTGCCAGCTCAGGCTGCCTCCCCCATGCAGAATTGCTCCCGTCCCTGGAAGGTGGTTTCCAATCCACAGGCACACAGAGGATCAAGTCAGGCAGCTTGCCCAGGGAACGGGCAGGAGAAGCGCTCTGCTGGACAGGGTCCCACTTTGGTTCACTGCACAGCCCCACGAACAGCCGTCCTGGCTCAACGGAGAGGACAGCACATCCTAAGCTACCTTGCTGGGGCTCGTGGGGCCACAGCCACAGTATCTCGGAATCGCACTGGATCAGGAGTTGGGTTAGGTTATCACTGGACTACTCTTCTAATAACATTTGGAAGAGTCTTTCCGAATTGTAATGTCATAGTGTCTTGCATTTTTAGGGTACCCGTTCTTTACGAGTTTGCATGGTGCCAGATAAGTGTTTAACGTAGATTCAAGAGACGTCCTGTTGCACCATGGCAGCACAAGAATGTTTTTTCCTACCCACTTGACAACAAGTCACACACAAAATATTTCCCCCCCACACGCATTTTGCCAGTTTCTCCCTTTCAAACAACAGTTTTCTCCACTATCTGTATCACTGGGACAGTGCTTATTATTAGAAGGACTAGGCTATGGTTCAGTAGATCTAATGAACCTGGCTGCCTTTCCAAGACCCAGCCCTTAGAAAGTGTGTGATAACACCATTGCTCAATGTAAATCCCCAACCAAGGCCTTGGAAAAAAGTGTAACACCTTACCCATTACCAACGTGCTACACAAAAAGGCCAATTTAAAAACCATCCTTTAAACAATTATAAGCTGGCTGCCAGAATACCACTTATGATATATCTATTAATCTTAATCACATATTGCTAAAAAAGAACTTCCAGATCAGTTAATATTAGTTATAATTACCTATAAATCCTTCAGTTTAACTGCGCCAAGATGAGTCTTTGCCCAAGTAAAGGCTTGTAACAATGAACAAAGCCTTGCAAAATACACTGGTAGAGTAACGAGGACGTAGCGTTTAGTCATTCCTGCCTGTGGTTTAGCCCCAGCCAGCAACTAAGCCCCACACAGCCGCTTGCTCACGCCCCCACGGCGGGATGTGGGTGAGAATCGGCAGGGTAAAAGCCAAAAAACTCTTGGGTTGAGATAAAAACAGTTTAATCAGTAAAGCAAAAGCCACGCATACAAGCAAAGCAAGGAATTCATTCACCACTTCCCACGGCAGGCAGGTGTTCAGCCATCTCCAGGGAAGCAGGGCTGCATCACGCGTAACGGTTACTTGGGAAGACAAATGCCCTAACTCCGAACGTCCCTTCCTTCTGCTTCCCCCAGCTTTATAAGCGGACCACAACGCCGTACAGGATGGGATATCCCTTGGGGCAGTTGGGGACAGCTGTCCCGGCTGTGCCCCCTCCCAACTTCTTGTGCAGCCCAGCCTCCTCGCTGGTGGGGCGTGAAGTAGAAAAGACCTTGACGCTACATAAGCACTACTCAGCAGTAACTAAAACATCCCTGTATTATCAACACTGTTATCAGCACAAATCCAAAACATAGCCCCACATCAGCTACTATGAAGAAATTAACTCTATCCCAGCCAAAACCAAGCACACTGCCTGACGAGAAGTTCACCACCATATAGAGCTAAAAAGCCTCTGGGGTTTACTTTTTGCAAGGAGAACAGAATCACAGAATCACTAAGGTTGG